AAATGCACCTGTTGTTTCCACTGTTTTTTCTGGTGAATGTCCCACTTTTAGTAACACCCACTATCTTGCAGAACACCACACTTTGATAAAGTAGGGAGTATTTTTCCTCCACTTGACACTGACACTGGGGGGATCTACCGCCATCAATCTTTGAAAAAATGCTGTACTCTCGCGCATTGTGAGAGTACACAGCTGATGTCGGCTGCTGGCAGCTGATGTACCAGGAGCTAAAGAGGAGCAGACAGAAGTGTATGGCGTGAGTGATAGATTAATTTAAGTAAAACTCATTTTTGTCTTCCCCTGGCCACCGGGCCACCGGACCACCCCCGGCCACTGGACCCCTAGCAATGATGTCATTATTGGCCACATATGATGGTAACATATATATTTAACTGGTTTCACCCAGGTAAATGCTTTTTAATAAATGTGGTCAATGCACACTCATACAATCAAAATGGTTATTTTCTGCTGATATTTTGAAAATATGCACTCCAAAACACCAGATTCCTTGCAAATACTGGTATACAGGACATTTACCAATTCCCCACCAGGACATGTACAGTAATGCATGTTTGTCTCTGAACACTAAATGAGCTGTTTACGACAGTGAGAATTGTAGAGAATTCAAGGTGAACTTCAAACTTTAGACCAAAGTTGCCAAACTGGTATAGCTGACTTGGAGATTTTTTCCAATTCAGCTATTTTGACCTTGAATTTGACATATGCTTCGAATTCCTGTCAATGCCCATTTTAGTAAACAACCCTGTGATTCTTCTGACACTACTGAACATATTTAGAGACAAGGGTGCTACAATACTTTATAATCCATGATGAAAGAACAAATGAAACATTGATATTCCATATATTTTTAGGTATGATTAAGAAAACGTCCTGTACATTAGCCTACTGTTTTGACTTATACGGATAAGCTAGCATTTATATTTTAATTAAATGCTAAGTGAAGGGTTTAAAAAAAAAAAAAAAAAAAACCTATTCTCCGTAAAGACCTTGTACTGGAGGAAATGTAAAAACATTCTAATTATATTTTGGCATAATTGCTTCACGTTTTCCCATGCTTTTTCTTTAAAGATATCATAAACTTGTAAGATCTTTTTCTTTAAAGATCTTACAGGTTTATGATATTCATGGAAGTCGCTGAGGTGGGTGAAAATAACATGATCTTTACCCCAGGACATATTTTAAACGGGTGCCATTAAACATATACTTCTTGAATACACACTTTGTTTCAGGTTTTCTGGACTATGAATGTTAAAAGAGAGAACTATGATGTATATTGAATTTATGGACACCCTTTCATATGTTCTATGCTTATAGATGTCTTGATTTACATATAGTTTTCAGTGATGACTAATCTTTGTCACTCCAACTAATGTGGACGTTTCTCATGAAGCTCATCTGTTCTTTAGGAATATAACAAAAGCAAGCATTTCATTGTCTGAAGAGAATGGTATGGTCCACGGAATGGTGAAGGTTGGCTTCACCCGTGTCTGAATGTCTGTTGTGATCCTGAGAACAGCCTCTTCTCGTTAAATACATTTATATTATTTATCTTCTCCAAGACAATCTTTAATTTAATAAACAGATGGTGAGGATGACTCTGCATGGTTAACTTAAAAGGTAGGTGTGTATGAACGAAATGTTATAAAGGCAATCTGCTGTATGTGAGTCTGTATCACTTGTCAGTATTTAACTACTAGAGAGTACATTGAGGGGACCTCTGCCTTCATATATCTTTTATTTTGCTTGCTTGCCTTTGGACTGGGATGGACTATTCTGCGAGATCCCTCTGTGGATCATCATAATCTGTGAGTTAAAGATACTGAATATTTTTTATCACCGCAAGCCATAGATATATGAGACACAGTTCATGAAACATTAATCTCCCAAACAAGATGAAGGAAAAGGTTGTTTATCTGTCAAGCATGCCAGTTAATAGAGGGTCTTGGTCAATTCTTCGAATAAAATGTTATTACTTAGCTGGCTTCTGGTGGAGCGGGGATGCATGCAACGTCACTTGAATAACTGTCCTGATTTTATTGCGCTGATTTTGCTATAAAAAACAAAGGGCACTTATTTGTTTGATTTTAATTCAGATAGTGGAGCTATCCTTCAACTCCACCTTTTTTCAGGTTTTCTCAAGTGTAAGAAAAACTACATAAGACACAGTAGTACCTATAATATATACAGAAATAGAAAAGAAACAAAGAAAAGAAGAACAGATTCTGAAAGAGAAAGAGAAGAGGAAACAATAGGACAAAGATAAGTTTGAGATGACAGTGCAACTCTAATTCAAGGTTTATCATTTGCAAATTCTGAATAGATAAGTATAGTTACATAGTATAAGAACTCTTCAGATATGCAACCTTATCAGCCCCTTCTTAACTGTCTAGGTCCCCATATTGAAGTTTGTTAAAGTGCTTAAATGTGTATTCCAGGGTGTTCACATATAAAACACTGCGGACACTGGCTATTCAACTAAATCTCTGCAATTTTAAAATACCCAATGCTTTGAATACTTCTGCAAGCAATGTTGTTCCCTTCACAGTAAGAAGTGTGGGCATTCATTTCCGTGTGCGAATATAGTAAGGGAATTACGTTTCTGTGGGTTCCCATAGCACTAGAGCCTTGCTTGTCTTGTACGTCCCCATAATTCTTCTAAAATAATCAGTTCTTCACAAGATATTTTGTTTACGACAATATTCAGTGTGAATCATGTCACAATCTTCCTTCAAGAAACTGCTAAATTGACTGTTATGTTGCCAACGTTAACCACTTCGGTGACAATCGTAAATACCCTACTTTTCCTGTTCTCAATAAAATGTATTTCAAAAATGATATTTTAATGTTCAAGGGCAGATCGATTGCTTATTTTTACAAGTCCACTAAATATTTATTTCTATTGTTTTTCCTTTGCAGAGACACTAGGATGTGCTATTTTCTTTGCATTGTATGAATCTTTATTTCGGTTCTTAAATGGTTTTCAAATGGTACATACCTAAAAACAAAAAAAAAACAAAACAACAACATACATATCAATGTAGACAGACTAAAAGAGAAAACATTATACAAGAATAGTAAACAAAGTCACAATTCACAATGGGATTGTTCAATGATAAAGTGCATATGCAGGATACAATACATTTCCAAATAGCATTCACAAATGTGTCAAGAAAATACCAGTAAAGGAGCAAACAGATAATAAAAAGGCATCAGTCAAAATGTATGTTATGACAATTTCGCCAGGTAAGTTGAAATCTGTTGTGGGAGTTTGGGGCCATATGTTCATACTTATAAGTAATTGCTAATGTTTCTAACACATTTCCCTACAAGGTTGAGAATATTACCAAAGCATAGCAATATTAGTTTTGGCCGAGACCAGAAGTGGGTCTCCAGAAAGCACGCTATAGCCACCTGAGACTGATGAAGGTCAATAAGGGTCATGTGACATTTATAGATGCGTTGCGACATTCATGGAGAATATCTTAAGAGATTCAGCCATAACTAGGAAATAAAGAATGTGCTATTACAATGGAGGACACCTTTATTGTCCACGTTTAATAGGGAAAAAAACATGAAAACCAGGGAGCTAGATGCTAACAGAAAGGGAACAGAGCCCATGTATAAAAAATGCATTGTATTGCCTGTAATGAATAACCAAACCATAAGCCGCACTGTACCAGAAAAGGATGAAATAAACAAAAAGTACAAAATTAAAAATGTAACATATGTACACAAAGAGTTCTGCTAAAACTATGTGACCAAACAATAACGATGTTTTATAAGTAATAAAGAAAGAAAATGTTTTGATGGAAAAACCAAAGCACACCCTTAAAATCTCCATTAAGGGGCAGACAACTGGAGTTCAGAGGAGGGTATACATCAAATAATCCAGTACTGGTCATTCTATTTAACAGTACAAACCAACCTCAAAATTAATAACTTAACATGCCAGCTCTCAGCTTAAATATTAAAGGATATAGAAGTATATTCTGTATTCTTGGGTCCTAGTCTATGTAGCAGGAAACTGTGTACACACACACACACACATATATAATTTTCTTTTTCCAACTTTTACTTTTTTTTTGTCTGCCGTAATTTATATTTTTATTTTTTGGGAGGGAGGAGAGGAAGGGGGGTTTTAGGGGTGATTATTTCTGATGACTTAAAGGTAGGCAGACAATGTAATAGAGCAGCAGGAAATGCTAGCAGAATGCTTGGTTGTATAGGGAGAGGTATTAGCAGTAGAAAGAGGGAAGTGCTCATGCCATTGTACAGAACACTGGTGAGACCTCACTTGGAGTATTGTACACAGTACTGGAGACCGTATCTTCAGAAGGATATTGATACCTTAGAGAGGGTTCAGAGAAGGGCTACTAAACTGGTTCATGGATTGCGGGATAAAACTTACCAGGAAAGGTTAAAGGATCTTAACATGTATAGCTTGGAGGAAAGACGAGACAGGGGGGATATGATAGAAACATTTAAATATATAAAGGGAATCAACACAGTAAAGGATGAGACTATATTTAAAAGAAGAAAAACTACCACAACAAGAGGACATAGTCTTAAATTAGAGGGACAAAGGTTTAAAAATAATATCAGGAAGTATTACTTTACTGAGAGGGTAGTGGATGCATGGAATAGCCTTCCAGCTGAAGTGGTAGAGGTTAACACAGTAAAGGAGTTTAAGCATGCGTGGGATAGGCATAAGGCTATCCTAACTATAAGATAAGACTAGGGACTAATGAAAGTATTTAGAAAATTGGGCAGACTAGATGGGCCGAATGGTTCTTATCTGCCGTCACATTCTATGTTTCTATGTTTCTATGTTGTGGTGTTCACTATATTCCATGTAAACCGTAATGATAAAATCATTTGCTGGCTATCTACCCAACCATACAGATGATCCTCAGCTATATGTGTTGGTTAGCACCCTTAAATAACCACTATAGGCACCTGGACTACTTCATCTCAGACCACTTCATCTCAATTAAGTGTTCATTGCCATTCTGACATTCTGACAGCCCCTAGAGGTGCTTCAATTAAATCAGATGATCTCAGAGAAACCATCTGATTGGTACAGTGCCTAACTTTTGCTGTGCATGTACACTAACCTTCCAATGCTTTTCTATGAAAAGCATTTGATTGACTGAGATATTTGTTCTCAATTATCTCAGTCAAAGAGGTAGCGCTTCACTAAGGAGACCAGTACAGTAAGGAAGAAAAGGTAAATAAACTCACATTTTAACTTATTCATTGCTGGTACGATCACCTAAACTAGGGAACTATAGTGTTAGGGATACGCCGAATATACTATTGTAAACCACAATAGGTACAGACTGACAGGAGCCATGATAGACTAAAATATACCATTGAAGAGAAATAACTAATTAGGATACTGACTCCAAAAGTTAATAAAAAATAAACAAACCTATCTTCATTTGTTCTTGATTTCATTGACCTACCTCAGTGCCATTCAATAGAGTGTCTTGGATTGGATCCAGAGGGTCTTAATGGAGATGCGACAAGGTTTCAAGAAGTTCCTTGCAGGGAAATGCTTCCTTGGGTCTGATTTTAGATGACGGTTAGGAGCCATTACAATGACAGAAGTACTTGATCTCAATTTGGACACTTTTTAACTGGACAATAGCTCAATAAATTGCCGCTGTCAGCCGGGTAGATGCAGAGCGCTCACATCGTGCAACCACTCATGGTTGTAGCCAAGACTCACCTTCTAGAATTTTTTGTCACTTAAATATGGCTTATTGCTTTAAATCCACTAATACAAGATTAAAAAATAAAGTTTGTTCTGTGAACTAAAAAAATGCTAAAAAAACATTTAGTTTGAATGGGATCGGAATGTTGGTCTATTATATTATATGTGAGTTTTTTTGTGTATCAACCATTGTGCAATTGTATGGTTCTGTGATAAAATAGTTTCCCAATCACTGTAAAACAAACGTTGAGCTCTGGTCAAATGTGACCTTCGGGAACATTCCTATCTATTTTAAATAATTACCCTTACAATGTAACAAACGAAATACAACAATCAAGAAAATTCTCACTTTTTGTGCCAACAGAATGAAGGATAACAGCATTTCAAGCAATGTGTTATTAGTGGATCGTGACACTAATAACACATTGCATTATGATAACACATCATTGTATTCATGTTCACAAAAAATGCTATCAGGGATACTGTAAAATTATTTATCATTGAACGTGGCAATCTCAGGATCATATTATTCTTTAGCAATTGTCAAGCGTATCACAATCCACATTCAGTTTGTCCCTAGGTGTCTCTTGGATAATAGCATCATTTTTTTTTGCAATGTTTCCACAAAGAGAGCAGTCATTTTGTGATGCCCTTCCTCATTGAAATGATATTTTAAAATGCCAAGCCAGATAGGTAATAGAACTTCAGATTTGAAATGCTGCATATAAATTACTTGTAAGGTCTAGTAAACACACATATTAAATAACATCTAAGTGTACCTAGGTATATTTTTGGTGAAATATTGGCATAACGATATAGTGCCTATGCTATTAAGAAATCTTGCATTTAGAACTTTAAAACTGTCTACGATTGTTTCAGATCGGTACCCACGCAAGCATATCTCATTGTTATAGGCTTCTGTCAAACAGTAGACAGTCATTTATTGCCAAGTTATTTCCATTTGTATATAATGTATATATTCGTATATATAATCCAGAAAAGTTTGAAAATATATCTACCTCTAACGTCTTTTCTAACATATTTTCAAGCACTCATTTTTTTTTTTTTTGATGGGATATAATAGTGGAACGTTTCCAACATTAATGTTAAAAGAATCCAGGTGTATTGGCATACAAGTCAACTAGTCATGGGCCTGTAGTGAAAGAATGCATGGTACAGCATTAGTTGTTGTGTTTAACTGCTATGATTTGCATTCTCCATAAAGAGCAGATAATTCCTATTGCGCCTTTAGCATTCTTGAAATGTAATGTTGTGGAACTCCATGATGTCCTACTCCTGTCTTGCTCTCTATAGTTTGGCCACTAAGATTAAATAACAAAGCCCCCTTGAAGAGCACGGTCGTAGCGAAACACGTGTTGGAACTTTAGCTGTGTGTGGTCTATTAGAGATAAGGGTTAAATCCAATTTATCATTAGCATAACGGGTGTGATAGGTGGGGGGATAACAGTGGGATGCCCTCGAAGGCACTGAGTAGGTCAGTATCTAGCCCCTTATTGTTTTTTATGTCAGAGAGGAATCTACTTCTATTCCCACTAGAACCTAAATCTATATATCCTGTATAATCCTACTGAGATTTTAAGCACTTTAGTTAGACAACCTCAATTAGACCTACAGATGTGTTCTCATTATATGGATTTAGATTGAAATGTAGCTATATTCAATTTGAATTTGATGAAATAAAAGTTATATTTGAAATTTTCGATCTCGGCCTTTATTATGTGTCCTTGTGGTTTGTTTGAAATAACAAAGCCATCCATGGGGTTACAGGTGTCACGTGATGCTATTGATTACACACATTACATTTATATTGTGTAAAAATATATTTAACAGGTTTTTCTTCTGGATATAAAGTGAACTGAACTCTACGAGGAAGACATAATGAACTGAGAATGAATTCACTAGATGTTTCTGGACTACATTGGCCATAATAATCATCTATGGATGCTATATTTTACTATAATGTTTGGCCAAGGCTTGCCAACCATCATGGGAAATGTAGTCACAAACATATGAAGTTCCATAATAAGCATTATCTTTTGAAGGTTATTCCTCATTAATAGAAAGATTTCCTTAGCTTTTTTTTAATGCATTTCCCATAATAGCAGCTAGTGGGTTGGATAATAGAAAGTATGAGAATGAATATAGGATCTGGAAAGTGGAGTGCAAATCTAGTTATTCCTATAGAGGGGCAAACGGAGAAGGTGCCCGTTCCCATACCACTGTGTGGTACAAATTCATGTTCTCGTTTTATTTACCCTTCCATGTTTTGGGCCATTATCCAGGGATGATAAAACTTGAAATGATTCCATAAACCATCTATTAAAAGTGAGTTATTTTCTAAACTGAGAATTCAAAGTAAATTTAATGGGACATTCAAATTTAAACTCAGAGTAACCAAACCAAAAGTGTTGGATTTGAGACAGCATTTTTATGATATGTGTTAGACATGCACAATCCTTTTTTGACAAATTAATCCAAATTTTCATTTATTAGTTGTTTCGATGTCTCAATAAAGAACGAGAGAAACTGCATACTTACAAAATGAAAGAAAAATTAATAAAGACTTGAACAAATTAGTTTCTTCAATTCTTTTGAATTAATTCTGGCTATAAATGGGAGAGGGAAGGGGAAGGGTCTGATTTTAGCTAATTTCCTCCTTTGTATGCAATGATGTACAGGAGATCTAAAGTAAAAATACACAAACGGGTCAGCGATTAGTAACACAGAAAATGAACAACAACGCAGCAACCCTGAAAAGGGGATCCCTCTCAACCCTGTAGGATAATACGAAAGAAAAAGACAGGTAAGGGCTGCGCCACATGTAATAGGATAAAATAAAGATAAAGTGAAATATAATAATAAAAACTAAAATAAAATAAATACTCTGAGTCTTATTCCAGATGTGCAAATTGTCACATATAAAATTGTCTCTTATTCTGGAGATAGGTTCAGCTGTGGTTCCTAGGTTCTTTATACTCAGGGGGGGGGGGGGTCTTATTGGCTTTGGTCTCCATATGTGGGCGAGAAAGGGACAAAATAACCTGATAGTGCAGTAAGTCAGGGCTAAATAGGCCTGTTATTAATGATAATAGTATTGCACTCAAATTTAAGAGATTGACATCAGCAGACAGCCACTAAATGTTGATTCTGAAACACAGACCTAAACAAACCAGGCAAGCATTAGTTGGAGGGTGTATATAAAAAGGACAGTAAACTGGCTGTAGTGGCTATGGTGCTTGGGGTATATCAAACCCAAATGCATTTGCAAGGTGGAACCTGGACAAGAACTTAAATACTTTTAGATGCTCACCCAGTCTTCACATCTTCAAAAAAATCATTAAAAACTCACTCACTTCTTCACAAAAGCGTATTCATTAAACTGTTAATATGTTAATCGCTCCCAATTGATTCCTCTCCTGTAACTGTCATAAAAAAAAAACTAAAAAAATTACTTCTCAAATATCCCCATTCTTTAATTGTAAAGCTCTGTGGAATATGTTGACACTATATAAAGGCTAATAAGAACTAAAGTATCATTAAAAAAACACACTGTCTTCAGTGAATGCTATTATACCAATCTACTTCTCTAACACTATCCTCACCTTTTGTGTCACTATTCCCTACTCCCTCTAGCACAGGCTTCCCCAAACTCCGACCCTCCAGATGTCGCTGAACGACAACTCCCATGATTCTCAGCCTATCTATTTCATTCATAGACTCATGGGAATTGTAGTTCAGCAACATCTGGAGGGCCGGAGTTTGGGGAAGCCTGCTCTAGCATGTAAGAACCATTTGGCCCATCTAGTCTGCCCGATTTTCTAAATAAAAATTTCGAAAATTGCATCCTTCTTGTCTGATTACTATTACATATTTGTTAGTCCACCCAATGTAAAGCACTGCAGAATTTGTTGGCTCTATATAAATACTACTACTACTAATAATAACAAATTGTAATGGTGCGGTTGATTTAATGTTTTAATTTTTTGCATTTAGATTTTTTACATTTTGGACTTGAAATCTGACCACTACCACTAACTGTTTAGTTAATAGCCCAACTTGCACATGTTGCTGAAAACTAGGTTTTCATTTGAGGTAAGCTAACATTTCTGTTACCAACTTTCCATTTCCAATTTTCCATTGTTCTTGCTACTGCTAGAAGCTTGTCATGCATTTGGTTTGATTTAAATGCAAAACTGCATCACGAATATTTAAAAAAAAAAATCATACACAATTCGGCTGAAGTGAACGTGTGATCAAAATTTGATTTATCTTGATGGAGCGGAAAAAAATTTCTACCATACGAATTAAGATGAGACAACATGTTTGGCATACACATTTTTTATATTTTGTGCTGTGAATGGATTAACAACAGTAGCAATATTTATTTGTTATTTATGTGCTAGGAACATGGCAATTCCTTTGGTGTATAGACCATGTTGCACGTAGTTCCAGCAATTAAATAGTTAAATATACCGTCAACGCTGCACATTTTTATTAATTGCCTAATCTTTATGGCACTTAAAGGACTAAACAAT